CACACAGATATCCCCCTAAAATAGCTAAAACTAAAAACAAACTAAAAACTACTTCCAAAAACATTCAGCTTTGATATTAATGAGTTTTTTGGGTTCATTTAGAACATGGTTGTTGTTCAATAATAACATTATTCCTCAAAAATACAACTTGCCTAATAATTCTGCACTCCCTGTAAACCGTTACTTAAAAAGTCATCTATTGGCCCAGCTGTCTTAGCTAAAAAATAGTAGTAGTTGTCAAACAGCTAACAGATCATCTGCAGAGGAATGGTTTATTTGAAGAGTTTCAGTCAGGTTTCAGAGCTGATCACAGCACAGAAACAGCTTTAGTGAAGGTTACAAATGATCTTCTTATGGCCTCTGACAGTGAACTCATCTCTGTTCTCTTCCTGCTAGACCTCAGTGCAGCATTCAATATTGCTGATGATAGTATTCTATTAGAATTATTAGAGCATGCCTGTAATACCTGCAGTATTACAGGTACTGCACTGCAGTACCTGTAATACCTACAGCAAGTTATTATGGAGTTCCGCAGGGTTCAGTGCTAGGACCAATTCTGTTTACATTATACATGCTTCCCTTACGCAGTATTATCAGAAGGCATAGTATACATTTTCACTGCTATACAGAGCAACTTTATCTATCATGAGGCCAGATAACACAAACCAATTTGATAAACTGCAGGCATGTCTTAAAGACATAAAGACTTGCATGCCTCTAATTTTGAGTTTTATAAATTCAGATAAAGCTGAAGTTATTGTACTCAGCCTAAATATCTTAGAAATATGTTATCTAACCTGATTCTTACTCTGGATGGCATTACCTCAGCCTTCAGTACCAGTCATTTTTTATCAACGCACATATTAAACAAATATGTAAGACTGCTTTCTTCCATTTGCACAACATCTCTAAAATTAGAAATATCCTGTCTCAGAGTGACGCTGAAAAACTAGTTCATACATTTATTACTTCTGGTCTGGACTACTGCAATTCATTATTATCAGGATGCCCTAAAAACTAACTGAAAAGCCTTCAGTTAATCCAAAATGCTGCAGCAAGAGTACTGACAGGGACTAGAGAGAGAGAGCATATTTCTCCTATTTTCAAAAATCCTGCTCCTCAAGGTCTTAAATAATCAGGCCCCATCTTATCTTAATGACCTTGTAGTACCATATCACCCTATTAGAGCACTTCGCTCTCGCTCTGCAGGCCTACTTGTTGTTCCTAGAGTATTTAAAAGTAGAATGGGAGGGAGAGCCTTCAGTTTTCAGGCCCCTCTTCTGTGGAACCAGCTTCCAGTTTGGATTCAGGAGACAGACACTATCTCTACTTTTAAGATTAGGCTTAAAACTTTCCTTTTTGCTAAAGCATATAGTTAGGGCTGGACCAGGTGACCCTGAATCCTCCCTTAGTTATGCTGCAATAGGTGTTCCCATGATGCATTGAGTATTCTTCTTCATTTACCTTTCTCATTCACTATGTGTTAACAGACCTCTCTGCATTGAATCATTACTTGTTATTAACCTCCGTCTCTCTTTCACAGCATGTCTTTTATCCTGTCTTCCTTCTCTCACCCCGGCTGATCGTGGCAGATGTCCACTGCTCCCTGAGCCTGGTTCTGCCGGAGGTTTCTTCTTGTTAAAAGGGAGTTTTTGCTTCCCACTGTCGCCAAACTACTTGCTCATAGGGGGTCATATGATCGTTGCGCTATTCTGTGTATATATGATTTTAGGGTCTACCTTATAATATAAAAGGCCTTGAGTTGACTGTTGTTGTGATTTGGCGTTGCATAAATAAAATTACTCTAAATTGAATTGTTTCCCTTTTTTCCTCTGAAGAAATCCAGACCAGGAGGAACAAAACAGTTAAGACCCTCTTGAGCACAGCGGAGAAAAAGGTGTGCAGCGAGGATGATTTTTGAACTATTAACTTTAAGTGTTGTTACTGTTGAGGAGTTGTGGATACAGGTCCTTATTCACTTAGCTGCTGTTTACAGTTTAAACAGATTAAGTCTTCATCAAGACAAGCACTACTAATTGTACTTTGCTCCTCATTGTTTTTGAAAAGCAAGAGCAGGCAAAACAAATACAGTAAATGCAGTTTTATCTGTAAGTTTGTCCCAACCCAGCACTTTAAATAATGTTCTGACAGATACCGCTGATGTGTCACAAATGCAGATGAAGAGTTCTTTGGTGTCAGAGCCTGGTGTAGCACTGTAATACTGGACATAATACAGAGACAGACGTATTCTTTGAGGCCAAACATTTGATTCATTTAGAATATTAGAAACTTGTTTTTGCATTTTGACCACCTGTCTGTGAAACACCTATGTTATAACACTATGTCTTAATATATGTTTATTTTAATGTTTTAATCTGGGAATTTCCTTTTTAATATATGAGAGAAAAGTCCTGTCAGCCCTGCGCTAAGAGGGCTGTGGTCATCCATCCGTCCTGTTCTAATGAACACAAATGTTGTAATAGTAATATAAACAGGAAAGTCTGTGAATGTCTGTATAAAAACAGAAAACTGCCAGGACATTTTTTTTTTACCTGGCATTCATCGTCTAGTTTTAAGTAGTTTTTCCCAAAAACTTGTGACATGCAAAAGAGTAAAGAGATTTCTCAAAGAAACTTTCATATTGCTGTGGACATTGTGGATGTAATGTTGTGTAGCAAAGCACAGGTTCAAACCCAGAACGTGCCCATGAGGCTCTATGTAATTTTTTGCTGTGTATCGCAGTTGCTGATTCAACAGCACATCAGTGTTAATCAGTATGTGTACATATTAAAAATGTATGGAGCATGGGTGGAGGATTGAAAAGACCAAAAGATGTAGATCATAGTCCTGTTCTGCTTACTAAACTGTTCTTTGAAAACAGTAAGTGTGGAAGAGCAGCTGTTCAGCAGTGACCAAACATTTCTTTATCTAAATCATCTCAGATGATTATATACTGAAATGTTGTGTACACACTGATGAGTCATGCGTCTGCAGCATTTGCGTTACATATTGAGAAACTCCCATTTATGAAACTTTCACTTAACTAAAGCAAGAGTTACATTACATAAATGCTACAAGCGACAACAACGCAGACAGAAATCAGAGCTGAACATTTCTGTCCCATTTTATTTGTTCCTTGAAAGCAGAGGTGGTTTCTATCGAGATAAGTTAAGTGCGCCACTCCCTCTGTTGGCTTCAGTTAGTGTCGCTCACCCAACAGTCTTTCTCGCTCTCTTTCTCACCTATATGACAATAATCATCCCAGTAAAATGGTATTTATTTAAATGCGCTTTGGATCTCTTTATTTAAGTGAATTAATATGTTTTCTGCATTTATTCACATGTGTGTTTATCACAAACGTGTGCTTAAAATAGTTGTGGGTGGTAGCATTAAAACCATTAACTTTAAGGCCCAAATTATTCATTTATTATCTGGTTTATCCCAAAATCAGGATACTGCCACGATGCCTGATTCCTTCTGTTTCTTATTTATTTAGGTATATTTTTATTTATGCAGTTTTTTAAAAAATGTATTTATTTTAACAAAGACAACCTTCAGTGGCCTACCTGGTCCAACAACCTGCGACACCAGTTGGTGAGAGAGGTCGGGGTCACAGCGTGACCACAGGACATCTGAGCTCTGAGAGATTTGAAGCCTTCACACAAGACTGAGAACAAGCAAACACACCATTTAAAAGAAAATGTGTTACTCAGGAATAAACGCTAATGTCCGTTTTATTTTTACATTGCACAATGTCAATACAAAGGCTTAAAATGATTTGATTTTATTATTTCTAAAATATAATTTAACGTCACTGACACCAGTTTGAAAAGTGCCCAAGTGTTACTTACAATCCAAATCATCCTCTCTATCAACAAACTTAAGTGTTGGGTCATTCGGATCATAACACTTCTCCTGTTTCGTTGTCATATTTGAGGCCATCAGTCTGCGAAATGATAAACAAACCAGAATGTGCACTTTAGTGGTGTGTGTGTGTGTGTGTGTGTGTGTGTGTGTGTGTGTGTGTGTGTGTGTCAGACGGAGAGAGTGAACTCTCCAGTGTTTCCAACAATAACAAAAAGTGCGATCATAGGAGTCGTTACCAGTGAACACACACCATTGCATATCCGACCAAGTGCAACATACATCACTGACTGAACGACGCTGTGTTACCTCTGGACCCGTGAATGCCGCCAACGTCGATCTTTCTGCCGGAGGCTCTGGATACAGCCTAAAGAGGTTGGGCGCAGTGGCGAACTGAGCAACTGCTAACTCAAAGGTCGGAGGAGTCAGTGTTTTCTTGTAAGAAAGTGATAGTGAAAGTAAATTAAATTAAATTAGGAACTTCCCTGACGGTCCTGGAGCATGTTTTGGTTTGTTTGTCTTATAAAGCCTTTGTTGTGGGCTGCTGGTTTATGAAGCAGATGAAATAAATGTTTTTCACACTTAGTTTTAAGCAGTGACCAAAGTCATGTGCATCTTAAACATAATCTTCAGTGGTGGTTGGGGAACATGATATAATTATTTGTGACACGTTTATATATTTAGTGAGGTTCGTCTCTCTCCCGTGTTGTGTGTGTAGGAGATCTTCTGGCTGAAGTCCAGCTGATTGTCGTGGGGAAGCCGCTGGACGATTAATCTGCATTTCTGTCTGAATATAGGATCAAACCCTCTGACAACTGACAGATAAAAATAACTAACTTGTTACAGAAGAATATAAAGAAAGAAAGATAAAAATGAATGAAAGCGTGGTGCACTTTGAAACACACTGAATAATTCATTCCCTACATTAAAAAAACACTTTGAATACATTAATTATTGTAAAATTAGGATAATCAAAGTTTATCTGCCTCCGATCTCTGGACCTGTTCACCTTCAGCCACCAGGTGGAGCTTTGTGTACTCTGCACATGAATTGGGAGGTGCTTCCAGTTACACACAAATGCTTTTAAACACCATGCAGCCTTCATGGTGCAGTGTGGATACATTCCGGTGGGAGCCTTTGACCCGAACACAACAGGAAGGTTAAAAACACCCCTCTAATTCACAGACCTCATGTACAGAGTAAACAAAGTGCCACCTGGTGGATGAAGGTGAACAGGTCCAGAGATCCGATGAAGATAGACAGATAAACTGACTATTCTAATTTTACAATAATTAATGTATTTAAAGTGTTATTTTAAAATGTAGCCAATGAATTATTCAATGTGTTTCAAATTGCACCACGCATTTACATTCATTTTTATCTTTTTTTAATATTCTTCTCCAATAAGTTAGTTATTTTTATCTGTCAGTTATTGTGCTATTTATTTTATTAATGCATTTAGTCTAATCTGTATTTTAGCTTTACAACCTGTAATTAAATGTATAAAATTTAGAACAATTTAGAAGATGCTAATGCCAAAGATGCTGATGCTAAAGATGCAACAGACAATGACAGGATAATGTAAAATAACTAAATATTGAGGCAAAGAATGCATTTATCACAGAATGTATGATTAACTTGTTTTCAAATTTATGACTGAACAACATTTTTCAGGTTTATTGTCGATATGATTCAGACATAATACAGCTGTAAAGATCACATTTGGTAGCAAATTTCTCATCAATATAAGCCAACATTGATTATATCTGATAACTGTTCCAACACAATAGAGAATTATAACAAGTGACTAAAACCACAGGTCATGTAAAAAAAAACATCATGGTATATTATTTACAGAAAAGGCATTAAAAGTGAAACTTGGGAGCTTTGTGTCTTTTTAATTATTTCTTTTTCCATACAGGTATCGATGTCTGTCTGGGGGCTACACCACTGGAGCATGCTGCATAAGGGCCACTTGTTTTCATACATTTAGTGAAGATCTTCAGGCACACAAAACAGAACTTCACCTTACATCGAGGACAAACAAGAGATTTACAATGCCTCTTGTTGTGCTCCACCAGTAACCCACAGGTGGGACAGGCACGCACAGAGGGACACCCGTTGACTCCCTTCACTGAATCAAAGGTGATATCTGGGCAGGTTTTTAGTGTTTTTAGTGAGTGGTTACAGCAGCCATCATTTTCACAGCGGTCTTTCCGAGGCCGTGGACCCTTCCACTCCTTCAAGCACTGCCAGCAGAATTCAAACGGCCGTCCTTTTACTGCTGTGCACACTTTACAGAGGACATTCAAATCTGATCCATTCTCTCTCATCACAGTGGATCTGCATACAGGACACTACATGGAGACAAGAGAGTTACAATATTTAACAAGAACTAAATCTTACAAGAAATACATTTCTATTTTCATGACATTGTACTATTCTAATGAGATACTTACCGATTTGGTAATAAGCGTCTGCAAGGCAGCATTGACAGCCAGTTTGTTTCGAAAATGCTCAGTTTCTTGAGGAGTCAGAAGAGCCATTTTCCAAACCTCTGAAAAAGTCCACTCAGCACTGCAACCAGACCCGCCACACACAAATCTGCTTTCACCCTTTATTGAGATAATGAGAGATGGGAGAATTATCAGACTTGTTCCAAACAAGTTGATGAAATTTTTTTTTTTCCTCTTTTTTTCCAGTTAAGCTTAAACTATTAAAATATTAAACTCTATATTGTGGAAAAAGGTTGCTCAATAGCTAATGAAACAAATCACAATCAAAATATTTCCTCATCCGTCAGAAATGCATTGCTAAATATGCCATTGTTTGTTGAAACACTGTAATGATTTTTGTTGCTTAATTCTGTCTTAAAGTCATCGGTGCAAAGGCTCTTCACACAGAAAACATTCAAAGGTCACAGCTATAAAAGCACAGGTGTAATTAAAAGCTGCACTGGAGTCTCAAAAAAGCCAAATAAGGCAGTAAGAGCAGTAAGCCAGAATCTACAGTCCCAGTGTTTCCATATAGGCTTGTACATTCACTGGTTACTCATCTAACTTTAAATACTGTTTTATAAGTCCAAAACTCCTGAGGTGCAAAAGAAGGACATGACTTCTCAAAATACTTTAACTTTGTCGTGGACAATGTGGATATAAAGTTGTTTAGCAGAGCATTATTTAAAAAGTCAGTTAATCACCAGAGCAGCTACGGTAAAACCTGATCCCAGAGGTGGACAATTAATTTTCCCAAGGAGCCACATAAGAAACTGGGACTGTTGTGAAAGGCCACACCAATAAGATTAAAAAGAAAAGCCTTTGGTTTGTAATATCCTAATGTTTGTTACACCACTGGAAGGACCTTTTTATAGCTGCAGATGACCAGTTTGTTACTACTATGAGGGTGAGTTTGATTGTCTTCATGTTTTGGATCTATAAACAACTTTTTTTTATTTTATTCAGAAGCTGAAGGCTTAAAGTGGAGGTCAGTGGGTGGCTTTGCTGGTGGGATATACTTCCATGTTCCGTGGTTATTTATCAGAACCAGAATCAGAAATACTTTATTATTCCCGAAGGAAATTATAGGTTACAGCAGGCAGCACACTAATGGCGCATGCGCACTTACAAAGGAACCCTCTGACCAAACTTTACACAAACATCACATTGGGAAGACATGTCAGGGAGGTAGGCTGATAGGGGGGAAAAGCAATGAAAATACATAACATGAGGTGAGAGGAGGAGAAAAAAAACACTCCACTCAGACTGAGCTCCTAATGGGAGAACAGTTTGAGAACAGAAAAAACACCCCAGCACAAAAAGCACATGACTGTCAATACACCATACACCGCGTTCCAAATTATTATGCAAATTGTGTTTAAGTGTCATAAAGATTAAATAAGAAGTTTTTCAATTAAACCCATGGATGGAATTGTGTCTCAGGGCTCTTTGTATCACTGAAATCAAACTCAGACACCTGTGATCATTAGTTTGCCAGGTGAGCCCAATTAAAGGAAAAACTACTAAAGAAGGATGTTCCACATTATTAAGCAGACCACCATTTTCAAGCAATATGGGAAAGAAAAATGATCTTTCTGTTGCTGAAAAGCGTGAAATAGTTGAATGCCTTGGACACATAATGAAAACCTTAGATATGTCATGAAAATTTAAGCGTGATCACCATAATGTTAAGAGATCTGTGGCTGAGTCAGAGCACACATGGGTTTGTGCAGATGAAGGCACGATGATGAAGGTTTCTGCCAGACAAATACATCAGATTAAGAGAGCAGCTGCTAAAAGGCCATTACAAAGCAGCAAACAGATATTTGAAGCTGCTGGTGCCTCTGGAGCCCTGCGAACATCAAGGTGTAGGATCCTCCAGAGACTTGCTGTTGTGCATAAACCTTATATTTGGCCACCCCTAACCAATGCTCACAGCAGAAACGGCTGCAGTGGGGCCAGAACTACATGAAGACTAATTTTCAAGCAGTCTTGGTCACTGATGAGTGCAGTGCAACCCTGGATGGTCCAGATGGATGCAGTGGTGGATGGTTGGTGGACGGCCACCATGTCCCAACAGGGCTGCAACGTCAGCAAGGACGTGGTGGAGTCATGTTTTGAGCTGGAATCATGGGGGGAGGGCTGGTCGGCCCTTTAGGGTCCCTGACGGTGTGAAAATGACCTCTGCAAAGGATGTGGAGTTTCTGACTGACCACTTTCCATGGTAGAAAGAGAAGAACTGTGCCTTCTGAGACAAAACCAATTTCATGCAAGATAATGCACCATCTCATGCTACAAGGAATACCTCTGCATCATTGGCTGCTATCGGCATAAAAGGAGAGGAACTCATGGTGTGGTCCCCATTCTTCCCTGACTTCAATCCTATTGAGAACCTTTGGAGCATCCTCAAGAAAAAAACTATGAGGGTGGGAGGCAGTTCACATCCAAACAGCAGCTCTGGGAGGCTATTCTGACATCCTGCAAAGACATTCAAGTAGAAACTTTCCAAAAACTTACAAGTTCCATGGATGCAAGAATTGTAAAACTGCTATCAAATAAGAGGTCCTATGTTAATATGTAACTTGACCTGTTAAGATGTTATTGATTGAAATAGCTTTTGATGTCTGTGAAATTAATCTACTAATGCTGCAAATTCAACAAATGACCATTTTCAATTCTCTACAACCGATGACTCGAAAAATATGCCGACTGTCATTTGAATCGACTATTTAGGAAAAACAGAAAAATATCATTTTGAAATGCAGTGTAGAAACACAAGACAAGCGACATGGGTGGGTAAGGGTAGCGAGAGCCAGTGTAGACAGCCCTGGTTTGAGCTAAACTTTAATTTGAGTGTTAATTAGAGGTGAGGTGCACCTGT